TTTCATATCATTAAATAATAAATTTTTAATAAATATATTATATAATATGTTGAGTTAAAATACGTAGCAATTAGTGCCTTTTATAAAATCCCAATATATATATATTTAAAATTTTTATGAAGTGAATGAGTAGACTTATAATATTTAGCAATTAGTGCCTTTTATAAAATCCCAATATATATATATATATATATTTAAAATTTTTATGAAGTGAATGAGTAGACTTATAATATTAGATTAATGTATGTATTATTGCCACTCATGACCAACCATTACCTAATTGAACCTAATAATCAAAGTCCTCTTAGCTCCGCTGAAATTAAACTAATTAAATTGTCTTAGTTGTGTTTTAATTAAGACAATTTTTTAGTAAGTTAATTGAAAAAAAATTGATCAGGCCATTTGCTAGTCAAAGTTTGATTTATATAGTATAAAATTATGTGTTTTTTCTCTGAAGGAAAGAAGGAAGAATGAAATTAATACGCGGCTTGACCATCTTTATCGTTTGGTTTTGATTAATTTATTTATTTCGAGCACTACAATAAGTACGAGAAATTTTTTTCTATTTTTTTAATTTATTTTATTTTTAGAAAATAATTTGTATACACTTAATTCAATATTTTTTTAACATACTTTTGGTTTAATCATTTAAAATATAATATAAATATAGTCAATTCAATTAGTTTTCACATCTTGTGTATATGATTGTATTTTTAAACGTATCTGTTTTTTTTAAAACTTATATGTTTTTAATTTTAAATTTAAAAATAATAATTTGTTAATAAATATGTTGTGCAATGTATTAAATCGAATGTGTACCAATCACTGTCATTTATTTTTTTAACATATAATTTAACCTCATAATTTTTTTTATTAAAAAAAAGTTATCAATAAACCACTTAATTATTAATATCCATTCTTTTGAATCCATGAATCACATGTCAACGTTGTATGGGGTTCATTTGACCTCATTACAATTTTGTAGAAGTACTAATAAATTATAAATAATTTTTGTTAAGTGAGACAATTTATCGAACCCAAAACTTAGGTTGAAAGCTTTTCATTAAAAATAGTATATGCAATTTGAACTTAGGTTGAGCAAATGCATGCATATGAATAAAAGGAAAAAATTGAAAAACAAAAAATCCCTTCCATGTTGTAATTCTCAAAACCATATGGCCTATTCCTTCCATATATAAAATCAAAATTAATAATCACAAATAATCATCATAAACAAAAACAAAGATTTATGAAAATCAATTTTTACTTAATTGCAATCCTCTTCAAATCCAAGCAAATTTCTTCCAAACACTCTCACCATCCATTCTCAATTTTCTTCCAAACACACCCCACAAACATCACCACTCCCATTAACGCACGTGTGATCCATCACACCCCACCAAAGTTACCCAAACCTTCTTCACGGCCTCCATGCGCTCGCCCACACCACCGGCTGCTCCTTCCACGACAAGAATATTCCGGCGTCCGGGCACTGTGCCATTGACCATCCCTCCTTATACCTTCGCAACAAGGCGCGTACATCATCACACACCTCATCGCTGAACCCTACCGGACCAAAACCCGCCGCATGCAACCGCCTTGACCAGCGCGTGGCGGACTCCCGTCGTTCGATTGACTCGGACGGCGGACATGCCACCAAGTCAACTATCGCTCTCCCCGCTGCCCTTTCTAGCATCAATCGTTCATTACTCGTTCTCGGAAAACTTTCATCCAATGCCTCAAGATACACCCGAAACCACCGTATGCATTCTTGGAAACCTTTCACGAACTCGAATCCGTCGACCCCGACGTCAAGATCAGCTTCTTCTTCCACCACTGTGATTATCCTCGGCTGCAGTCTTCTAAAATTAGATATCAGAACATCTCTACGGTTGTCAACGGCGGCGGTCGTGTGTAACGCACCAACACAGTTGATAGCAAGAGCCTCATCGTCTTTGATATCAAGTTCAGCAAAATTTAGGTCACATAAATCACCGGCATGGTGTATTACATTGAATTTAAAGGGTACCCCCATGAGCCTTGCGAACTTTTCCATCCTGGAACCAATTTCTTTCATTACCTTTTGGACAGCCGCCAAATTACCTCCTTCTCCGGCTGAACTGGAGCCACCATTGGATTTTCCGGTCATGACGGTGGTTAGCCTGAGGTGGGGTGTTTCATCGGTCCGGGTGGCTAGGGCTTCCAGCAAGGTAGGCCATTGAGTACAATATGTGTTACTAATGTCAATTATGTGCAATTTGGTTTCCCCTTCAAAGGCTTCCATAATTGCACCATTACAAGCTACGTGACCAAAAGTAGTCCATGGACTCACCTCTTGGAATTTCAACACCATTTTTCGGGTTGACTCGAAAGAACATGTTTTCTCCGATGCAGATGCCAAAGTCCGGTAGCTTCGGTGGCCGGAGTCCGTCATGCGACTAAACAAGGCTTGGAGAAAATAGGAAGCGAGCTTTTGGTCGGTGTCACCATAGGGAGAGCTGAGCTCGTTGAGCATCCACATGAGTTGCTGGACACGTGCGCTGTTCCGATCAGCTATGGCACGTGCGGTCTCGAGGAGGATATCGTTGGCCCACTTCCCGGAGAAATCAAAGTTGAGGTCACGAGCAGGGGAAGAGGAGAAGTCAGTAGGCTCAAAACCATGTTGGTGGGTTGTAGTGGGAGTGCTGGTGTTGGTGGTGGTGGTGGTGGGGGTGGTGGTAGTAGAAGGGTGGGGTTGATGCCGATGATGATAAGGATAGTATTGCCTAGAAGAAGACGAGGAGAAGTCTTCTTCATCCATGAAAATGTTGTAGCATTCTTCGTCTTCGTGTTGGTAGTACTGATGGTTTTGTCTGGATGACCTAGAGCTGCTTGAGGTCCTGCTAGAATTGATGGAATTATCAGATTGAAGACTCACCAGTCCAAACAAGGTATCCATTTAACCCACATCAAGAATATTGAATTCTTGTGTAGATGAAGGAGAGAATTTTTTGGGTTGGGCGAGTTGAGTATGGTTACAACAGTAGAAAATTAAATAGAACCATAATTTGGTAGAATCGATGAGAGGAGGAGGGGTGAATAGGGGTTGTTATTTTAGGGGTTCCATGAGAATTGGCTAATATGGGGTTGTTCTGTTAAGATAGGTTGGAATAGGGATTGGGTTTGGGAATGGAACTTGGGGGACCTGACAAAGGTGAATGAGAAAGGGAAAGGGAAAAAGAAAACAATGGTCGATGTCATAAAATGGGTTTAGTGGGGTTTTAGCTTTTGCAATGAAAGAAAGAGAATGTTATAGGTTTTAGTGGGAGCAGGCGTGCCAATTGGGTTTTGGGGAGAGGAAGAGAAGGTTTAAAAAAAAAAGCTGCCGGCGTGCATAACCATCATCAAACCCACCATCATACCACATTTACATTCCTTGCCTCCTACTCCCTCTCCAAAACCTGCCAAAATTCCCTTACTTTTTCCTTTTCTTTACTTCTTGCATTATCCCATACATATTCATATAATAATGCCCCTATGCTAACATCTAGGGCATGCCCCCTCCTCCACTCTCATATCTTATAATCTTCATCTCTACATACACCCAAAATTTCAAAACCAAAACCCCACACAATGCCAAACTCTCCCAATTCTTACCAAAAAAAAAAAAAACCCAAATTGAATTCACCTTGTCTCCACCTTCTTTGTCCTCAAGTGCAATCTTAAATTCTCTCTAGAAACAAAATCTTTTTTTGGGTTTGGTCTTAAGCTATTGCTACTCTTGAATCATGGCCCTTGTCATTGAAATTGTGGGTAATTCATGGTATGTCATTATCTATGATTTCAGGACCAAGCAAATTATCTTTTAACATGTAAGAATTATAATACGTTTGCTTGTAGGAAGTTGTATTGTTGTCATCTGTTTTGGTTCCATTTGCATTTTATTTATTTTCCCGGTGATATTTTCCAGGGAGTTTCTCTGGTCCCTGGTTTTGTTCGACAATCATTAGGAAAATTCCATGCTTGGACTCTTTGTCCTTGTTTGGAGCTATAAGCTATGATTCAGGACAAGACCAGAGTGGTGCACGTTCTGTACGTATGGGAAAAGGGCAACTCAGTCATGACTCAAACTCAATTCCCAATACTAACCACATCAAAATGTTCTCCATAAGTTAATTTCTCAAACTCCAAAACCATAGGCAAGGGCAAAGCTAGCGTAGGCAAACCTTTAATTTAACTGACCGACAAATTAAATGGAATAGTCAGTTAACCAACCAGTCGGTCAAATTTCATTTCGGTCAGTTATTAGTATGGATCTGCATAACTAACCTTAGCCAATTGATCAAGGGAAAAATAAATAAATAAATAAATATAAGCAATAAGATGTCAATTAACTATCATTTAACCGAGATGATGTGCCATTGATTTGTTTTTTAGGTTATCAAAATAGAGGTATGTAAATTAACCGATTAACCAACTGAATTATTAACCGATTGTTTGATTAACTGATATTTTAGCTTTACTGGTTAACCAAAACCAATGGCCACCCCAAAAGCAAGTTTTAATCAGTTTGTTATTTAACAGTCCCTTCACTTTAAATTAAAAACATATATTCCCTCTAACCCTCTTAGATGTTGATTACTTTAACATAAAAAAATTAGCTTAATGAGAGAGTGACTTTTAAAGCTTAATTAATTATTTAATTAGGCATGTTTAGGGAAATGCGGGCCAAAGGGTTAAGATTAAATTTGATTTTGAATTATTATAACAAGAATCATGATAATATTGTAGATGAAATGTCACACTTCCTCAACTACCATAAAGGTTTTGGTGTGGATAGATTGGAATGGTGATGTCAATTAGCAACTTGTTAATATTTTTCAAGGTGCCCTTCTCAAGACTTGTTTGGTTTAATTCAATTAATGACAACCTGTAGAGCTATGTTTACAGTTTTATAAGTGCTTGCTTGTTGGTTTAACTTTTAAATAAATTTCTCTATTGTAGAAGTTGCAATTATTCAAATATAAAACTTTTTAAAGTTTTTACACCATGTTTGAAACCATGGCCATATTTTTGAGGAAACACCAAGTTCAAGAATTTCGTATTGATTTTTTTTTCCCTTTCTAAACTTGGGGTAATTAATTTAGAGGAAGGGTAGGTATATTTTTACAATTTCAATCTCTAATAATCTCAAAATTGTGAGGTCTTAACCTTTAGATCTTTAACTAATTGACTTAAGTTCTTGTTGAGGCCTTAATTAGCCTTCATATGTATAATGTTTATTATTTAAAATTAAAAAAAAAATAAAAACAAAAAACTTGAATCGTCAATCATACTAAATAAAGCTTTTAAGTTGTGTGAATTGTGATAAGAAATATGTTGGGTGGATGCAGAGTTTTTTACTGTAACATGTCCTCCTTTTTTAGTGCCTTTGTTTCATTATTGTAAGCTAGACTAACCCCACCATCTGTTCTGCCATGTTAGAAAAGTGAGGTCTGAAAATCTGCCCACAAAATGAAACTTTAGTCCAGAGGCTGAAGGCTGTATATATTTGCTTACCCTACCTCCTCCCGACTTTTTCCTTTTCCTTCTGTTGATAATGTTTCAATGACCCTACATGTTTTTATGTGT